ACACACACACATATATATGTGTGTGTGTGTATGTGTGTGTATAATTGCTGGGAAAAATTAGGCCCAACTCTTAATCAAATTTATGCATCAACCACTAATGCAAAAGATGAAAACATTGAAGATTTTTACCAACTTCTGCAGTCTAAAATTGATCAAACATGTAATCAATGATAATTATTGGTGATTGGAATGAGAAAATTAGAAACCACGTAGTTGAAAAATATGGCCTTGGTGATAGAAATGACACCAGATATTGTGTGATAGAAATTTATAAGACCAATGATTTATTCATTGTTAATACCTATTTTCAATAACATAAACATAGACATGGACCTTGCCAGATGGAACACACAGGAATCAAATCAACTGCATTTGTGGAAAGATACAATGGAAAGAGACAATGGAGAAGCTCAATGTCATCAACCAGAAAAGACCATCAGTTGCTCATACACAAGTGCAAATTGAAGCTGAAGAAAATTAAAACACGTCCACAAGAGCCAAAACATGACTTTAATTATAACCCACCTGAATTTAGAGACCATTTCAAGAATAGATTTGACACATTGAACACTAATAACTGAAGACTGGATGAGTTGTGGGATGACATAAAGGACATCATTCATGAAGAAAGGAAAAGGTCATTAAAAGGACAGGAAAGGAAAAAAAGACCACAATGGATGTTAGAAAAGATTCTGAAACTTTCTTTTGAACATAGAGTAGCTAAAGTGAATAGAAGAAATGTTGAAGTAAAAGAACTGAATACTTCAGAGGGTGGCTTGAGAAGACAAAGTATTACAAGGAAATGTGCAAAGGCATGGAGCTAGAAAACCAAAGGGAAGAACGCTGTCATAGTTAAGTTATGTGTCAACGTGGGTGGACCTGGTTTTGAGTGGCTGGGTAGCTGGATGTAGTTATTCTCCGTGATGAGGCTGGTAATCAACTCCATGATGGAATATACTGGAGCAGCTGAGTAGCCACCTTAGGAATGTGGTCTGCTTGCAGTATATAAGAAGAAACAATGAGAAAGGTCTCTGCAGCTTTTTGGCATTCTTGGACCCTGCACATAGTTGAGTCTTCATCTTAGTGGCTTGCCATGTTGTCTGCTGATGTTGGGCCTGTCTCTGGACTTGAGCTAGTGTTAGATAATATTGGGACTGTGCTGTTTGACTTGTCAACATCAGGTTTGTCAGCCTCAGCAGCCAGCAGCTATCTGAGTTAAGAGAATCCTCAAGCTTCAGTGGGCCAGGAGCAAGAAGCAGAGCTGAAGCCCAAGGTTGAGGGATTTTCACCCAGCTTCTAGAAGTGGCACTTTGAACTCGGACTTCTAGCCTCCTAAACTGTAAGAGAGTAAATCCTTGTTTGTTAAAGCCATCCCATTTGTGGTATTTTCTGTTAGAGCAGCACTAGAGGACCAAAATAGACGCACTTAGCATTTCTCAAGCTAGAGGAACTGAAGGAAAAGTTCAAGCCACGAGTTGCAATACTGAAAGATTCTATGGGCAAAATATTGAATGATGCAGGAAGCATCATAAGAAGATGAAAGGAATACACAGAGTCACTGAACCAGAAATAATTGGTTGATGTTCAGCCATTTTAGGTGGCATATGATCAAGAACATATGGTATTGAAGGAAGAAGTCCAAGCTGTACTGAAGGCATTGGCAAAAAACAAGGCTCCAGGAATTGACAAAATACCCACTGAAATGCCTTAATAAACTGATGCAATGCTGGAAACCCTCACTTGCTTATGCCAAGAAATTTGGAAGACAGCTACCTGGCAAACTGACTGGAAATGATCCATATCTGTGCCTGTTCCAAAGAAAGGTGATCCACAGAATGTGGGAATTATCAAACAATATAATTACTATTGCATGCAAGTAAAATTTTGCTGAAAATAATTTAAAAAATGGATGCAGGAGCACCTCAACAGGAAGCCAGAAATGCAAGCTGGATTCAGAAGAGAATGTAGAATGAGGGCTATCATTGCTCATCTCAGGTGGATCTTGGCTGAAAGCAGCAAATACCAGAAAGATGTTTACCTGTGTTTTATTGATTATGCAGAGGCATTTGACTGGGTGAATCATAATAAATTACAGGTAATATTGTGAAGAATGGGAATTCCAGAACACTTAATTGTGCTCGTAGTCCAAGAGGCAGTTGTTCCTATAGAACAGGGGGATACTAATGGTTTAGAATCAGGAAAGACAGATGGGTGTTTGGGTCATATCCTTTCACCATATTTATTCAATCTGTATGCTGAGCAAATAATCCAAGAAGTTGGACTATATGAAGAAAAATGCAGCATCAGGATTGGAGGTAGACTCATTAACAATCTGTGATATGCAGATGATATGACTTTGATTGCTGAAAGTGAAGATGACTTGAAGCACTTACTGATGAAGATCAAAGACTACCACCTTCATTATGGATTACACTTCAATATAAAGGGAAAAAAATCCTCACAACTGGACAAATAAGCAACATGTTGATTAATGGAGAAAAGGTTGAAATTGTCAAGGATTTAATTTTATTTGGATCCACAGTCAACACTCATGGAAGCATTAGTGAAGAAATCAAATGACATACTGTATTGGGCAACTATGCTGCTAAAGACCTCTTTAAAGTGCTAAAAATCAAAGATACCACTTTGAGGACTAAGGTACACCTGACCCAAGCCATGGTATTTTCAACCATCTCATATGCATGCAATGAATAAGAAAGACCTGGGAAGAATTGATGCATTTGAATTATGGTTTTAGCAAATAATATTGAATATATCATGGACTGTTAGAGGAGTGAACAGATCTCTCTTGGAAGAAGTACAGCTGGAATGCTCCTTAGGAATGAGGATGGTGAGACTTCGTCTCATATACTTTGGACATGTGGTCAGAAGGGATCAGTCTCTGGAGAAGGATATCCTGCTTGGTAAAGCAGAGGGTCAGCGAAAAAGAGGAAGACCCTTAATGAGATGGACTGACACAGTGGCTGCAACAATGGGCTCAAACATAGCAAGGATTGTGAGGATGGCACAGGACTGGGCTGATGGCACCTAAGAACAACAACAATGGATATTGAGAGTGGTGATATTGACTGGGGGTGGTGAGCATGATATTGTAGTTTTAAATCAGATGGACAAGGTGACATTTGAGCTGGATGGAGAAGGTACCATTTGAGCAAACATTTAAAAGGATTGAGGGCATGAGCCATGCACCACACTATGGGGAGAGTGCTCCAGACAGAAGAGCCTGTGCAAAGGCCTGAAGCATGCATACTGGGTATGCACATTGTGTTGGAGGAACAGCAAGGGTGTCAGTGTTGCTGGAGCAGAGAAAAGAGTAATCAGCAGGAAAGTGAGACAGGTAAGGAGGCAGATCATGGACCACCTTTGCAGGCCATTGTAAGGGCTCTGAGTGAAATGGGGATACAAAAGAGTATCCTGTTCTGCTTTTCCTTTGCTTGGAGGAGGTAAGGATCTTGCAGGAGGTAGAGGACTTTGTTTTAGTGACCAGCACAGTGTCTGGTGAAACACGGGCATGTTGATTTCATTCAAAAACATTTCCTCAATTACTCAGGCCCATCCCTGGCTAAGAGGGAGGATGTGGGTAGGTAGAGAAGGAAGTAGCCTTGGGGTAGATCTAGCACAAGCCCCAGGGAAGGAGGCACCTGAATGCCTACAGGTGCTCTTTGTCCTGGAAGAACAGTCTTGGCGGGCTGTGGCCAGTGCTGGGCATGGGGGCAGGTGTGGTGGGAATGTGTCTGGCTGAGGCTCAGGCTCAGGGATGCTGTGTGCCTGCAGAACCAGTCTTCAGTATGGCATCATGTGCCTGAAGAGGCTGAACTATGACCGGAAAGAGCTGGAGAAGAGGCGGGAGGAGAGCCAGCATGAGATCAAGGGTAAGCTGCCCAGGCTCTGCAGGGCTTCCTTGGAAAGGATGTGGAGCAGTCTTGGGAAGCAGGGCCTGCCCACTGACCCCTGCTTTGGGCTGAGCAGAGAGAAGGTGTTCTGTGCCTCAGGAAAGCTTTTAAGTCTTAGAGGGAGAATACTATCTCAGCCTTAAGGAGCTCCAGTTTACCCAGAGGATGCTACCATTTGATAGTTCTCTATCAACAGCCCCTGAAATGCTACCATTTGATAGTTCTCTAGAAACAGCCCCTGCCCAGTCAACTGTAACACCCCTCCCCTTTCCTGCATACCAGACAATGGCCATCAATTGAACAAGTGCAATGGGTGTCACCCAACTTTTCACAGACTGTGTGAAAGGTGCTCACAGAACTTGGGTTGGACAGGAAAGAGAGGCAAATCTTAGTAAGAGACTGTTGTTGTTAAGTGCCGTCAAGTCGGACCTGACTCATAGTGACCCCTCCTTGGGTTTCCAAGGCAGTATCTCTATGGAAGTAGATTGCCCAACCTTCCTTCTGAGGAGCAGAAAAAACAAAAAGAGGCCCATCCCAGCCTAGGGACATGGAGATGACCCATGCCTGGGCTCTGGTGTGAAATCCAGAGGCCACAAGCTGCCAGGGATAGAGTAAGATGGGGTTGCTGTTCCAGGAGCCCAGGTGCCACAGAAGACAGAAAGAACGTGTGGGAACCAGAGAGCAGGGTGGACTGGGGCTCTGGATGTCTGTCTGTAGAGGGGCCTTGGCCAATCTGTCTTGTTTTGCTTTCTTTCTTTTCTCACCCTCAAGATGTGCTGGTCTGGACCAATGACCAGGTGGTACATTGGGTCCAGTCTATTGGGCTTCGGGACTATGCAGGAAACCTGCATGAGAGTGGTGTGCATGGTGCCCTGCTGGCTCTGGATGAGAACTTCGACCATAACACGCTGGCTCTGGTCCTCCAGATCCCCACACAGAACACCCAGGTGGGCCACCTTGTAATCAGTCAGTCAATCCTCTCTTTCCCTCTTCTTTTTCTTCCCTTCCTCCCCTCTCCCCCAAGGCTTAGGGATTTGTGGGGGCATTCTAGGGGCTATTCCAGAGGGGATCACAATATCCTCAAACCTCAAGTGGTCCCTATGCATAGCCAAGCCCCCTAAAGAAGGATTCTAATACACAGAGCACTTCTAGCACAGGCCTGGGCATAGTATGCCCATACAATATTCAGTCCTAGGCTGCTGTGGGTACGCCATCTCTTGCTCACCCCACCTTGGCAGCTGTCCTTACCTTTACCTCAGCCTGCTTTTCTGACCTTTCTTGGAGGAGAACAAGCCCTGGCGCATCAGAGATCCCCTATCTCCTTGTCTCCTACCCTGGAGACCTGCTTCTGGTCTCCAGGTAAAAGAAAGCTAAGTATACCAAACAACAGCCCAGGGCTAGCCACCCCAGGGCTTTGTCTCCTTGTCAACAGTCAGAAAATTCGACATCTCCCTAAATTACATTCATAATTATTACAGAGCTGTCATCTGGGAATAGATCTAAATTCTCTTGAACCTAATTATATTTTTGGCCTTTCTGACTTCCTGTGGTTAATGGATTCTAGAAGTATACTACCTCTTGTGTAAAGTACTTCCTGATTTTATTTGTCCTGGCTCCTCCTAGGGAACTGCCTAGTAGGGGTGTTTGTATTTGACCAGTTCTCACCTTTTGTGATTTCATAAACTCACTGTGTTGCCTCTGAGGCCCAGCCTTGCTTGATCTCTCCAGACAGAGTAGTCTTAATTCCTTTAGCCTTTCCTCATATAGACTTGCCTCCGTCCCCTGATCATTTTAGCTGCCCTTGTCTGGACTGTTTGCAGCTGTCAGGTTTCTTTTGAAATTCAGCCACCAGAACTGCACAGGCTATTCTGGGAGCAGATGCGTTTTGGCTTGTGTGAGGGCAAGGTCGTGTTGTCTGTAATACTGGGCACCATGTTGGCCTTTTGGAGTGATGCAGCACACAGGGCCATGTGTCCCCTAGGGTTTCTTGCAGTGGCCATCCCCCAACTGATAACACAGATTGTCTTGTTCTCTAAGAGGAGTTTAGATTTTCCCTACATGCAGTTTCTCTTCACTTCCCCAGAGGAGTTTAGATTTTCCCTACATACAGTTTCTCTTCACTTCCCCATATTGAACCTCATGTGTTGCCTTCCTGCTCACTCACAGCTTTGGGAGATGTTTCTGAAGTTCATACCTGTGATCTTTACTTTCCACTACCCAGAGGAAGTATCATCTGGATACTTGAAAACTTAACTATGTTTCCCTTCTCAGATTGTTTATAAAAATGTAGTAAGATGTTCCTACTACTGACAAAGACTGCCCTTATGGAGCCCTGTGGTTCATATCCTCTACCCAGAAATGGGCTTTTCTCTTTTGTTTCCTATCTCTGAATGCATTCAGTTTTGTGGATACCAGTAAATCTGTCAACAATAGCAGGGACATGTCTCTGTTGCTTTCTACCCTTTCTTATTTTCCTGACCCATTCATTTACTTAGCTATTGAGGGAAGCAATGGCCGACCCAATATGAAACCCTTTATTAAAAATATCTGTTGCCAGTTTTGAAAACTTTCCCGTTTCTAGCATTTCCCAAAACTCAGAATGAGTTAAACACTTGGGAATCTTTGGGTCTTAATGCACCACCCAACCCACGAGTCACCAGTATCTCTTACTACAGTCTTCCAAATTTAAGCTTTTGAGGTAGAATCTTAACAAATCTATTTATTTAATCCAAATAAGTGTAGTGCCTAAGGCATTTGACTGCTAACTAGAAGGCTGGCGGTTCAAACCCACCAGCCGCTCCTTGTTTAACAACATAAATTTATTCTTTCACATTTTAGGAGGCTGGAAGTCTAAATTCAGGTTGCCAGCTCAAGAGGAAGCTTTCTGTTGGCTCTGGGGGAAGGTCCTTGTCTCCTTTCAACCCTTGTGGGCTGGTGTTCCTTGAAGATCTGCATGTGTTTTGGTATCAGTCTTCCCCCGGGTCTAGGAAGTTCCTAGCACAGTGACCCTGGGTTCAAAGGAGAAGCTCTGCTCCCTGCTCTTCTTTCTTGGTAATAGTCAGGTCCCTTCCTCTCTGCTCAGTTCTCTGTCCTTTTATCCCTCACTAGGTAAAAAGGGACGCAGGGCACACTCCAGGGAAACACTCTTAGATCAGATCAGGGCTGTAACCTGAGTAAGGGTGTTTTTTCCCACCTAATCCCTTACAGCTAATTGGCTGATCACGTAATGGGGGATGATTACATCATACCTAACTCCCAAACCACAGAGAATCATGGCCCAGCCAAGCTGACACATATTTTTTTTGGAGGGGGGCACACTTTAATCCATGATATTCTTCTATCCTTTGGCCTCCAAAAATTCACGTCCTTGCCACATGCCAAACACTTTCACCCCATCATACCATCCCAAAAGTCTTAAATCAATTCCAAGTCCAAATTCCATCCTGGAGTAAAATTCCTCTTCATTTGTGAATCTAGATTACAAGTTACCTGCTTCCAAAGGACAATGGTAGAACAGGCACAAGGTAAATATTTCCATTGCAAATGAGAGAAATTGGAGGAAAAGAAGGGACAACAGGCACTATGTTGTTACTGTTATGTGCCATCAAGTCGGACCCGACTCATAGTGACCCCTCCTTGGGTTGCCAAGGCAGTATCACTACAGAAGTAGATTGCCCAACCTTAGCAAGTCAAAAACTCAGCAGAGCAATTTATGCTAGCTTTCAAGTCTTGAAAATAATCCTCTGCTTTCTGAAACTCTCTAGGTAATGGCCCTGCCCTCCAGATTCTGGGTGTTGGCCATGCTCTCTGGATTCTGGGGAAAGACCCCGCCACCTGGGCTTTAGTTTCACCTTTCAGGCCCACTGGGATGGCAACTCTGCTCCCTCGGCTTGGGGCAGTCTCATTCTCCTAGTCCAACTGAATGGTGACCCCACCCCCTCAGCCCCAGCAGGCCCCTGTTTTTCTGCCCTTTGGACATGGCAGCCCCACCCCCTTAACTCTGGGCAGCATCTGTGGCCCTATCACCCTAGCACTCATGAATGGCAGCCCCACACCTGGAACTGAGGTGCTGAAGATCTGACTCTTTGAAACCTAGGAGGGCATAGCCCTACCCTTTGAGACCTAGCAGGCTGTACCTCCATGTTTTGAAACCCCAGCGGTCATAGCCCTACCTTGTAAGACTCAGGCAGCTGTGCTTCCTATATTCCTTGTCTCTTCAGCTTCTTCTGCCGTCTGGTTCATTGGCCCCTCAGCTTCTTGGGCTGGCCTGGCTTCTGCCCTGCTTGGGCAAGTGTTATAAAGCTCTTTAGCTCTATCGATAAGTACCCAGAGGTACACCATTCCACCGCCTCAGCCTGAAGGTACTCAGCTCTCTTGCTCCATGGGTTGGCAAACCTAGTTCGCTTGAAAAGTGCTCAGAGGTACCCCATCCCACCAGAAAACCTTTTATTTAAAAAAAAAAAATTATTGTGATTTGGGTGAAAGTTTACAGAGGAAATTCATTTTCCATACAGCAGTTCATACACATTTTGTTTCAGGACACTGACCGTATTTCCGCACAATGTACAACTCTCTTCCCGTAATTACCTCTCTCCTGTGTCCTTCTTTCCTAAGTATTCTTGCCCTTCTGTTCTCTGATGACTGATCAATCATTCTAAAGAATGTATCTACCTGATATAAATGTTCATCATATATGCCTAGGGAGCTCTGGTGGCATAGTGCCTAAGGCACTTGACTGCTAACCAGGAGGCTGGCAGTTCAAACCCACCAGCCACTCCTTGGAAGGAAGGCTGGGCAATTCCGTAGTGATGCTGCCTTGGAAACCCAAGGAGGGGTGGCTATGAGTTGGATCTGACTGGACGGCAGTGACTTTGGGTTTTGGTTTGATTTATTGTTTGGCTAGAATCCACAGGAGTGAGTTCAATTCCAGATCTGAGGGACAACCAGGGGTCATAGTCTCAGGAGTTTCATCAGGCTCTATCAGAGCAGCAAACCTGGTCATTTTTATGATTTTGAGTTTTGTTCACCAGAAGCCTCTTGCCTGAAGGCACCTAGCTCTTTCCTTCCATGCGTTGGCTCCCTTGCCATCTTGTGCCGCTTTCCTGGTTCTGATGCCGCTGCTTCTTACCATCTGTACCTTCTCCAGTGTTATGATTCTCTTCACTTCCTTTTGAGCCCTTACCAGAATTGCCTTTGATATCCATAATCCCACCAACAGTATCTTAAGGCAATTTAGCTTTTACTAAATATTGTTGTTGTTGTTGTTGTTATTTGCCATAGAGTTGGCCCCGACTCCTAGCGACCCCTCCTTGGGTTTCCAAGGCAGTTATCACTACGGAAGTAGGATTGCCCAACCTTAAAACCTTTCCAGACTTTACCCATTGTTGTTGTTGTTGTTGTTATGTACCATCAAGTCGGACCCGACCCATAGCGACCCCTCCTTGGGTTTCTGAGGCAGTATCACTACGGAAGTAGATTGCCCCATCTTCCTTCCAAGGAGTGGCTGGTGGGTTTGAACCGCCAGCCTTCTGGTTAGCAGTCAAGTGCCATAGGCACTATGCCACCAGAGCTCCCCCTTAGCCAATTCCAAAACCTCTTCTACATTTTATTTATCTGTTAGAACAGCACTCCACTCTTCCGGTACCAAATTCTGTCTTAGTTATTTATAGTGCTGCTGGAAGAAAATACCACAAGTGGATAGCTTTAACAAACAGAGGTAGTAAGGCATGATTTTTGCCTAGAGACAAAATGTGTTTTTTCTCAGTAGGAAAAACCTCACTTACATTCTTTAATCCTACTTTTTTAAAAAGTATATTTTGCTAGTTGTACTGTGTGAAAGAATCCTAAGATTTACTGTTTCACTTGTAAGAGGCCACTGAGGTTTGATTGAAAGATAGTCTTAGGAAGGGGTGTAAATGTTCCAGGTACTTCTCCCTAATGGGCTAAATGCACTGAAACCCCCCATCTCTGCCCTTGGTGCCCAAGGAAATAGGTGACCAGTGGCATAGAGGTCATAAACTGTAGCCCTTCCTACCTTTCCCTCTCTCGCCCTATGGCTGCAGGCACGCCAGGTGATGGAAAGAGAGTTCAACAACCTGTTGGCCTTGGGCACAGACCGGAAGCTGGATGATGTGAGTACCTTGCTCTGAATAAGGGACATTGGGGATATGGTCATGGTAGGATTAAAGTTTGTGAGTTCTGCTTTCCCTGCACTGGTGACCCAGGGGAGGCCTTAAGGAGGAGAGCTAGAGGGGATGGCAGTGATGTTAGGGAGTTGGGAAGATAGGGCAAGGCCTAGTGGGTCTTTGGGCAGCAATGGACTGTGTAGAAATCTCTATGAAACTCTTTCCGTGTACAAAAGCTGAGGCTCCTGTCTTGGTTATCCAGTGGTGCTGTAACAGAAATATCACAAATAGGTGGCTTTAAGGAGCAGAAATTGATTTTCTCACAGTTCAGGAAGCTAGAAGTCTGAATTTGGGGTGCTGTCTCTAGGGGAAGGTCTTTGTCTCTCTTTCTGTTCTGGGGGAAGGTGCTTGTCTCTTTTCAGCTTCTGTTGCTTGGCTCCTTGGTGATCTGGCTGTGGCATAACATCTGTCTTCCCCCATCCCTGCTTTCTTAATCTGCTCCTTTCATATTTCAAAAGAGACTGACTCAAGACACACACTACACTAATACTGCCTCATTAACCTAACAAAGAACATCCATTTCCAAATGAGCTCTGGTAGCATAGTGCCTCAGGCACTTGACTGCTAACCAGAAGGCTGGCGGTTCAAACCCACCAGCCACTCCTCTGAAGGAAGATGGGGCAATCTACTTCCATAGTTATACTGCCTTGGAAGCCCAAGGAGGGGTCGCTATGAGTCGATCTGACTCGAGGGCACATAACAACAACAACATTATAATCACAGTTAGAAGGGTTAAGACACAATTCAATCCATAACAGCTCTTGTATGTTATATTGTAGTATCTCCCACATCTGTGTCCCACCCTTCTGATCATAAAGCATCAGAGAATTCCCCTAAAGGCCTTATCTGTGGGCTTATACCCTTTTATTTATCTCTCAGACCCCAGCTCTTCAGTGTTATCAGTTCAGCCTATCTCCAGCTTGCAATTAGGACTCCAAGCCATCCTATAGTTTTGTTTGTTTGAGGGAAAAGCTGTGCTGTGGTCGTTAAATTACATTGCTTCTCAATGCAGTTGGACACAGCAAAACATGTGGCTCAAGATTTTATGATCTTCCAGGTTTTTCTATCGTTTCACTCTTGCTTCTACCTTCACATCAAGTTAAAGCTTTTTTATTTTTTTTTCCCTCAGCCACTAAAGAAAGAAAGTCTCTGCCATTTCATTTTGTCAGGCCTTCCCTTGGAGTTTAGGTTGGCTTATGTCTGGGCACAAACTGACCCCTTGAGCCATCATGTTCCCCTTACAGATGTCTGCCCAAACTCACTGCTGTTTCCAGCCGATGTACCCCCTCCTTGCCCTGCCTCCTCTTTTCTTCCTCCTCCCTACTCACATGGCTACTGCCAACATTGTCTCCCCTTGGTTGTCAGGCCAGCTTTTGCTGACTTGGCTTCAAACAACTTAAAAGAGCTCAGACTCTTTATTTTTAGTTTCTTCAACTTCAATAGATCATTGTTTCTGATCCCCATTTTCTGTCAGCTTCCCTGTCTCCACAGTCCTGCTCCCACCATCACCTCTGTATAGACTTTTGGGCATTCCTTTATGTCACCATTAGTGTTACCTGTTGTTGTTGTTGTTGTTATTTACTTGTCCTTAATTGGTTTTAACATGGCAAAAACTTATCTGTGTAGAATGATTGCTCTGCCTCAGTGTTGTTGTTGTTAGGTGTTGCTGAGTCGTCTGTGACTCATGTTGTTGTTGTTGTTGTTATTTACTTGTCCTTAATTGGTTTTAACATGGCAAAAACTTATCTGTGTAGAATGATTGCTCTGCCTCAGTGTTGTTGTTGTTAGGTGTTGCTGAGTCGTCTGTGACTCATGTTGTTGTTGTTGTTGTTATGTGTTATGAGTCGGACCTGACTCATAGCGACCCCTCCTTGGGTTGCTGAAGCAGTATCACTATGGAAGTAGATTGCCCAACCTTCCTTCCAAGGAGTGGCTGGTGGATTTGAACCGCCAGCCTCTGGTTAGCAGTCAAGTTCCTTAGGCACTATACTACCAGAGCTCCCCTATGACTCATAGCAACCTTATATACAACAAAATGAAACACTGCCCAGTCATGTGCCAGCCTCATGATCCTTCCTATACTTGACCACATTGTGGCAGCCACCGTGTCAATCCATCTCGTTGAGGGCCTTCCCCTCTTTCGTCGACCCTCCACCTTACCAAGCATGATATCCTTTTCCAGATAATGGTCCCTTCTTACAACATGACCAAAGTAGGTGAGACGAAGTCTGGCCATTCTCGCTTCCAAGGAGCATTCTGGCTGCACTTCTTCCAGGACAGATTTGTTTGTTCTTTTAGCAGTCCATGGTACTTTCAGTATTCTTCGCCAACACCACAACTCAAAAGCATCAACTTTTCTTCGGTCTTCCTTATTCATTGTCCAGCTCTCACATGCATATGAGGCGATTGAAAATACCATGGCTTGGGTTAGGTGCACCTTAGTCTTCAAGGAGACATCTTTGCTCTTCAGCACTTGAAAGAGGTCTTTTGCAGCAGATTTGCCCAATGCACTATGTCTTCTGATGTCTTGACTGCTGCTTCCATTGGTTGTAGAACCAAGTAATATGAAGTCTTTGACAACTTCAATCTTTTCCACATTTATCATGATGCTGCTTATTGGTCCAGTTGTGAGGATTTTTGTTTTCTTTATATTGGGGTGTAATCCATACAGCAGACTGTAGTCTTCAGTCTTCATCAGTAAGTGCTTCCAGTCATCTGCATTTTCAGCATAAGACAGTGTTGTCTGCATATCACAGGTTGTTATTGAGTCTTCCTCCAATCCTCATGCCATGTTCTTCTTTATACAGTCCAACTTCTCGAATTATTTGCTCAGCATACAGATTGAGTAAGTATGGTGAAAACAAACAACCCTGACACACTCCCTTCCTGATTTTAAACCATTCAGTATCCCCTTGTTCTGTTCCAGTGACAGCCTCCTGGTCTATGTACAGGTTCCTCATGAGTACCAGTGTTCTGGAATTCCCATTCTTCTCAGTGTTATCCATAATTTGTTATGATCTACACAATCGAATGCTTTTGCATAATCAATAAAAGACAAGTAAACATCTTTCTGGTATTCTTTGCTTTCAGCCAAGATCCACCTGTCATCAGCAATGATATCTCTCATTCCACATCCTCTTTTGAAACCAGCTGGTATTTCTGAGAGTTCTCTGTCTATATACTGCTACAACCATTTTTGAATTATCTTCAGTAAGATTTTACTTATGTGTGATATTAATGATATTGTTTGATAATGTCCACATTCTGTGGGATCACCTTTCTTTGGAATGGGAACAAATATGAATCTTTTCCAGTCGGTTGGCCAGGCAGCTATCTTCCAAATCTCTTGGCATAACTGAGTGAGTGCCTCCAGCGCAGCATCTGTTTATTGAAACATCTCAATGGGTATTCCATCAATTCCTGGAGCTTGTCTTTTGCCAATTCCTTCTTCAGTGCAGCTTTGACTTCTTCCTTCAGTATCATTGGTTCTTGATCATATGCCACCTCCTGAAATGGATGACCATCAACCGATTCTTTTTGGTATAGTGACTCTGTGTATTCCTTCCATCTTCTTTTGATGTTTCGTGCATCATTCAATATATTGCCCATAGAATCTTTCAATATTACAACTCGAAGCTTAAATTTTTTCTTCAGTTTTTTCAGCTTGAGAAATGCCGAGTGTGTTCTTCCCTTTTGGTTTTCTAACTCCAGGTCTTTGCACATTTCAATTATAATAATTGACTTTGTCTTCTTGAGCTGCTTTTTGAAATCTGTTCAGCTCTTTTATCTTGTCTTTTCTTCCAGTTGCTTTAGCTACTCTCCATTCAAGGGCAAGTTTCAGAGTCTCTTCCGATATCTATTTTGGTCTTCCTTTCCTGTCTTTTTAATGATCTTTTGCTTTCTTCATGGATGTTGTTCTTGATGTCATCCCACAATTCCTCTGGTTTTCGGTCATTGGAGTTCAGTACATCAAATCTATTCTTTAGATGGTCTCTAAATTCAGGAGGGATATAATCAAGGTCATATTATGGCTCTCGTGGGCTTCTTTTAATTGTCTTCAACTTCAACTTGAACTTGCATATGAGCAGTTGATAGTCTATTCCACAGTCAGCTCCTAGTCTTGTTTTGGCTGAAGATATTGAGCTTCTCCATAGCCTCTTGCCACAGATGTAATTGATCTGATTCCTGTGTACTCCATCTGGTGAAGTCCACATGTATAGCCACCGTTTGTGTTGTTGCAAAAAGGTATTTGCAATGAATAAGTAATTAGTCTTGCAAAATTCTGTCATATGCTCTCCAGTGTTATTTCTATCACCAAGGCCATATTTTCCATATTTTCAGTAGACAGGGCATACTTAGGAATACACAGAATTTGTGGAAGGGAACTTTCTTCCCAGAGGCACCCTGACATTTGGAGTGTGTTATGTATCAAAGCCACCAGCCACTCCTCGGAAGGAAGGTTGGGCAATCCTACTTCTGCAGTGATACTGCCTCGGAAACCCAAGGAGGGGTCGCTATGAGTTGGGGCCGACTTGACGGCACATAACAACAAACAACAATATGTATCAAAGATGCGGTGAAACCCATGTGAAATTGTTCACTACAGATTAGTAAGTAAGCACAAGTAAGCCCATGCTTACCTTGCTTATTGGGTAATGCACCCGTGGGGTGGGGTCCTGTAGGGGTGTGGCCCTGGTGTCCTTTGGCAGAGATGGTTATTTGGGGAACTTGCCACACTGGTTAAGGGGCAGATGGCAGAGGGCTGCTGGCAGTGTCCCTGGGATGAACTTGTCTCTGATTGGTCATATCCCTGCTCCATCATTGTCCCAGGGTGCTCTCACCAGCAGCCCGAGAAATAGGTAGAGCTGGTGTTATTATGGTATTTTACAAATAAGGAAATGAAAGCTCAGAGAATTCTCTTAACTTGTCCAAGGTCAGATAACTGGTAACATGGGAAAGCCAGGGTTGGAACCCAGGTTTCCTGCCTCTGGCAACTCTTCAGGCATACTGGGCTGCAGCTGTACTGAGGCCCCAGAAAGGTAGAAGGCTCTATGAGGATCTGGCTGGGGACCACTTCCTATGGAGTGACGCTGAAAGGAGGAATACCCTAGGTTGAGGAGATAGGTCATTGGGTATCCCAAATCGGATCTGAGAGGGCTGCGTGCGGTGAGAAGAGTTCAATTATGAGGTGGACAGATCCGCCCAGAGGAGACTCCCACTCCACCTGGAGATAGGGGATTTCAGATCCTCAAGAGCCCTTGGGAATCATCCACTGCAGCCCCTTCATTCTACAGACGGAAAAATCGAAGACTAGAAAGGGGAAGTGACCTTGCTCCTCTTTTCAGAGGATGGGAGTGGGACCACTGGAACGAGCCAGAGTGAGGGTGGAAATTGCATCCTGCCCCTTGGTACTCTATCTCCTCGGTGCAGGGGGACGACAAGGTGTTCCGCCGCGCGCCCTCCTGGAGGAAACGCTTCCGGCCGCGGGACCACCACGGCGGCATGCTCAGCGCCTCCGCGGAGACTCTCCCCGCCGGGTTCCGCGTGTCCACTCTGGGGCCTCTGCAGCCGCCTCAGGGCCCGCCAAAGAAGATAATGCCTGAAGGTGAGTGATAGGCTGCCTGGGCATTGCCGAGGCCACCTGGACGGCTGCCCTGGCATCTGGGGATCCAGCTGGAAAGGGCGGGGGCTGGGCCGACTCTGGCGCTGAAGCGAGGCCGGAGGCTGGTTGTGCCCATTCCGCCCGGCTGACGCTCCACTAACGGCGGCCTGGGTGGCGCGGCGGGGCCGCTGGGCCCGACCTCCCGCGAGCGTGTGCGCGCACTAACCCGCCGCTTTGTGTTCTCCCGCGCTGCCGACTGCTCCCAGCCGGGACGGCGGGGGCGCAGAGACTGGAGACCTCCACGGTTCGGACCTACTCCTGCTGAACCCCCACCCTCCCGCCCCGGGTCTGACGGGGTGTGCCCGTGGCTCGGGGTAAGTGGGCCCGGCCTGGGGACGCTGGGCGCTCCTGCTGCCGGCCCTCTATCCGCACAGGGCCTCCCGTTCGGCCGGCCCGCCGGCCCGCTTGCGGCTTCCCCCACGCCCGCCATTGACTGCCGCCCTGGCTGCTCGCGCGGACGGCCCTGCTTGCCCCTTCCCGCTTCGTGGGCTCTTGGGCGCTTTGCGCTTTGAAGCACGCCACTGCTTGCACCGTAGTCTCCCAGGGACTGACTCCCAACTCATCGCGCTCTGCCTGTCTCTCTTTTTCCTAGCTCACTCTCACTATCTCTACGGACACATGCTCTCCGCCTTCCGGGACTAGCCACGGCCCCCAGGGCCGGCTCCCTCCTTCTGGGCTTCAAGGCTCTGCCGGCCCTGGCCCTTCCTGCTCGTTCCCCTTCCTCCCATGGCTCCTAGTCTCGTCTGTGACTTTCCAGTTGCCCTGGATCTCAGAATATTCTCGTCCACCTCCTCAATATCCCACTACTCCCAGACTCACCCTGTGTCCTCTATAAGTCCCTGGTGGACTTGGCTGGGGGATGCCTAGTGTTGTGAAGGCACCCAGATTGTCCATGCTGGGGACTCTCGGGGAGAGAGAGGACGGCAGTCCAGGGTCAGTGTGACTCCACCCTCTCTCTTCTGGTCCTAGCTTTCGACCTATGCCAGGGACCAGGACTCAGTGTCGAGGGCTGGGGATGGCCTTTCCAAGAAAAGGGCACTTCAGACTCTGCCCCTCTTGGACTATTCTGCCTTCTGGGTCCATGCCCATGTCCTGGCCATGCCAGATGGTCTGACATGTGGTTTTGGCGCTCCCAGTATACTCCCTCTCCAGCCCATCTCCACAACTGCAGCTCTGGCCTACAGTACTTCCTTAGGGGCTGGGAGGCAGAAGGTCACATTCTCCCTCAGGATGGTTAGACTTGGAAGGAGGGAAACTGGGTTGAGATTCCAAGCCTTGGCTTAAGCTGCATTCCAAGTGTGAGTTTGAAAGAATCAGAGCTAAATGGGCCCCTGAGCTTTGGACCATGGGTGAGGATGGGGAACCTCTCAGCCCTTTCCCATCTTCCCCAGTGAGATGTGTAGGCAGGCCAGCCAGAGGGAGAGACAATGGTTTCAGGTAACATTAAGCCCAAGGGCAGTGGGAATGCTCTCTGCCTTAGGGCAAGGGGAGACTAGATCTGACCATGTACTGCCAACTATGCTCCCAGCATCCTTTTCCTTGCTGTCTTCCTTTGCCCTACTTTAGTAATCCCAGCTCCATAAGAATAAACATGATGGATGTTTCAAATACACATTGACCCTAAACTCGGGTCTGGAGAAAAGGTAGTCCCAGGCTTCCTTCCCTTGATCTCCCAGGAAGAAAATAAAACTTCCCCTTCAGTGAGTCATGTCCCAGTCCAGTAAAACCAGTATTGATGAGGGCATGCACTCTCCTGCTCGTCCCCAAGTTCCTTACCCTTTGTTCAGGGCTCTTTTGATGTTCAGGGCTGCCTCCAGAAATTTTTGAGACCCTTACAGCTTCCATCATTCTCATTGCTTTCCCCAGCAGTGTGGTGGGAACTGGGACTAATAGGTATCAGGTATACTGGTCCCATTTTGGTAAGAATGATCATTCCCAAGAAATACCTCTTCCATACCCACTCACTCATTCTGTTCATGTGCCTGGAGGTGTTTGGGACCCCAAATTCAGAGTGGGTCAATGAAACCCAGGGCTTCATCCAAGTGAGAGGAGGAAACAAGCTTCTGATGCATACTTCTTGGAGAGGGGTCAGGGCAGTGCTATCCTGCAGGTGGCGGGGTTAGCTGGTCTGCAGCCTGATGGATTTGGGTTCTGAGCAGGGGCTAGGCTAGCAGGTGGGATAATAGGGCAGAGCATCCTGCCCGAGGGAATGCTGCTAAGGGCTTAGGCCTTCTAATGATTTTTAGTAGAGGGACGCTCTACTTGAACTGCCAACCTTTCATTTAGCAGCCACACACACTTAACCATATGGCTGGATGGGCTCACCCCTAGGCTTGGGTAAGTCAACCACCTAGTCTTGGCCTCCCTCATTGTACCCTACTCTCCCTGGCCACCAGACCTCTGAGTGGAGCTGAAGGAGCTAGTGAGCAGAAAATGAGTTATATGGAAAGAAAGACTCCTGTGGGTAATGGTTGTTAAGATTATCAAGAACCCCCAAATTCCTAAGATTGGGAGACTTGGGAATTACGAAGCCTTTCAGGGGAGTCTTGATGGGCTAGCTGTGTGGGATGTTCATCCCCAGCCTCTCTTCTACATCTTATCCCTATCATGGTTGGTCATGGCATAAGGCAGCAGCTGAGGGGATCCAGGCCCATTCAAGACATCTTGGAAGCATTGCCGGGAGGTGATGGAGAAGAGGAATCTCCGCACACAGTAGTGGAAAGCTGTTGTCTTGGTGTATCTCTTGTCTCATAGTCAATATATTTTTTGTTTGGAGAGTCACCAAGTGACCCATGTCCTCCTCACCAGCCTCCTGTATCTCGTCAGGTCCCTTCTCAGTACTGTACTGGCTCAGTGCATCAGGAATGGGTGTGTGTGTGGGTGTGGGTGTGAGTGTGAGTGTGTATGTACCAATAAACAACCTGGTTTTAAGACAATATACAAATGGCCTCCTGTCTCTTTTTTTTTCCCCATTGTTGTTTTTAACTTTGAGTCCACCTGACACGTTTAGCTTCTTCCATGGTCCTGAGAGCTGTTGTATTCTGGGAAGTAAATATCAGTGCTGAAAACAAACAAACAAACCCACATAGTTAATAACTTTCTGTTTATTTATGTAACTGTGGAATTGATAGGGTCATGTTTGGGTTGCTGGTGCTGAAGGAGTAGAGGAAGAGATGAAGGACTGAAGAGCCCTGACTGCTAGGCCCAATTTATTTCCTCTTCTTCATCTCTCCTTACCTGGCCGTGCTATCTCTCCTCTCACCTGTTCACACTGCTCTCAGAGTTGCTACTCTTGGGCATAGCACTGCACTGTTCAATCTTTTTGTACTTTTTGACACTGATTACATTACTCATGATGTGTAACCATCAAGTTCACACTCAGCAACTCACCACCACATCTGGATCAGAGGGCCAGCTCCTCCCTGTGGTACAAGAAACCATTCACGACTTAGCTCTTGGGCCCTCTTCTGTCTCCCATCACTCTCAAGACTGCCCAACTCAGAAACAGTATGTCTCGCCAAACCCGTCGGTAGGAGGCAGCATGACTACTTCTTCCCTTGCCTTTGTAGCTGTGAACCTTCAAGACCTACTTAAAGCATCACCTGGGAGGCATTCCCCACCCCTCTTCAGCAGAATTAGAGAACAACCACCCTTTGCTCCCCTAGCACTCTAAGCACACTGCAAATACAATGTGATAATTGTCTCATTGTCTTTTTCCCACACTGGGCTGTGAGGAAGCTCCTTTAGATCCATTTCATTGACCTTTATGTCTATAGATGTATGTACTTGAATGAATAAATGATCCAACCTATCTCAGAGGGTTGTATAATGATTATTATTAAGAAATGCTAAACATCAGGTGCTACTATGTGCCAGACACTGTTCTAAGTATATAGAATACAGTGTATTAATTCACTTAATCCTCACAACTTTGTGATATAAGTATTACAGTCACTATTTTACAGATCAGGAAATTTTAGAGCTACATGCTCACAGGTGGTAGGACAGACATGAGTCTCAAACCTAGATCTTCCTGACTTCAGTTTCCTTAACTAGCATACCAGTTGCCATTGAGTCAATCTTTGACTCAGTGGCAACTTGTGTGTTAGTGTAGAACTCTGCTCCATAAAGTTTTCAGTGGCTGATTTTTTGGAAGTAGATTGCCAGCCTTTTTTCCAAGGCACCTCTGGGTGGACTCAAACTGCCAACCTTTCATTTAGCAGCCAAGCACTTAACCATTTGTGCTACCCAGGAACTCAAGTTTATTAAAACTCTTGGTCCAGTACCTGGCACACAGTGTTCCATAAATGTCACTTCCATTTTAAGTGAGTTCAACCCCCCACCACCACCACCACTCAGCTAAGCTTTCCCATCCATCCTAGCTCCTGTTCCCAAACATCTGTACCACCCATGCTACTTGACTTCTGTGACTCTTCATGGGGCCATGTTTCTTCTTCTCGCCTGGATGATGAACTCCTGAGGGCAGCACAATGCATCATATACCCTGTGTCCTCTCCAAGGCTTATCAATACTCCAAGCACTGATGGTAAAGTTCACAGGCACAGATGACAGGATGGAAGCTAGAAGAAGTAACATGGACATAGCCAAGGGAGAGCAAATAAGTGAGGGAAGATGCTGATCAAGTGCCTATAAGCTTCTTCCCCACCCAGCTCCCATGACCAAAGGTGGAATTGAAAAGCTGGCCCCAGGAATGAAATCTGAAGGAACCCAGGAAAATGATTTCCCAGCGCTGCCATCCTCTGGCAACATAGAAGGAGCAGGCTTATGTGGAAATGGGAGTTTGGTTTTGCACATTCTGAACTTGACATGAGACCCCCAACAGAATTTTTCTGTTAGCATTTGTAGAAAAGAAGAATCTAGGTTTCTTTCTAGGAGTCCTCTCCTTTCTCTTCTTTAGGAATGGTCCAGAGTGGGAGGCAGGGAGTCTGTGCTCTGGGTGGGCTGAGGGAGGACAGGGATGAATGAGCCACAGGCAGAATGGCATGGGGTGATGATTTGGGTTTCTCACCCTGGCCTGGGCTGTGCTTCCGGAAGTCTTGCAGTCGTCTCCCTGAGCTCTAGCTCACCTGCAGGCTGCTCTGCCCCAGCCTAAAACGCAGAAACCAGAGAGGTCTAAGGCACTTGACATGCTGTGAAGCAGATATGTGTGTTGAGGGGCGCCTCTGCTCTCACGCACCACTGTCCCCCCTCTGCCTCCTCCAGCTGATCCAACCACCTGCTACACCTGCAGTATCTAAAAGGTTTTCCAGTCTGCCAAATTACTTTGAGAAGTTAGATGCCTAGGAATATTTATTGGATTGCAACAAATAGTACTTTAAACATTCTGCAATTCATATTAATTATCTAGACACTCTAGGAAGTTCCTGTTTACACACTAACAATTGGTATGCAAATTTCAAGTAATTCTCTTACCTTTTCATTCACTTGGATTTCCTAAAGTCCGTTCTTAGGTAACACTTGATTAACCCAGTCTAATTTATTGCAGGTGCTTTTCTTCACTGAAGATTGAATTTAAACTAGTGAAGACTGAATTTAAGCAAATTTCCTTAAAGAACTGCAACTTCATTAATTGGAGTATCTGGTATTCCATTGTGAAGGCTGAGCATTTAATTTAAGCAGGT